GTTGTTGTTGTTGTTGTTGTTTTTGTAGTTGTAGTTTGTAGTTGTAGTTTGTAGTTGTATAGTTGCAGTAGTAGTAGTAGTAGTAGTAGTAGTAGTAGTAGCAGTAGGAGTGGTACTAGTGGTACTAGTGGTAGTAGTGGTAGTAGTGGTAGTGGTAGCAAGTAGCAGGCACACGCTTGGTAGGTGACGCCATGTTTTCGTTCAGCTCAGTGTGTTATTTCTCGAGTTTTGAGCTGTTTTTTGCGGGGGTACGCCGATCTAGTTGCTTTGCTGTGGATCTAGGATGATGTGATGATGGTGGTGGTGGTGATGATGATGATGATGTTGACGGCGGTGTCACTGATGATGTTTGGACTTGCTGCTGCTGCTGCTCGAACTGTTGCTGCTGCTCATGATGATGCTAAGCTTGAAGGTGACTAAAATGATAAATTAGCCACGCTCCCGGAGTGGGAGTGGAGTAGGAGTACGAAGGAGTAGGAGTACGAAGGAGACACGAATTTTTGTTTCAGTACCGATCCTGCATGGTGGCAGGGCCTTGTCGAAAGCATTGTCATCATCACTTCCGGTTGAAGATGCAGCAACGGTGAGACAGCAAGCGCTCCAAAGACTGGCGCGGTGCCCGGAGCCACTGCGGACGGAGCTTTGGCTTCGACGCTTGGAGGAGCGAATCGCTTACTCGATACGGCGTTCGTCCACACTACACAATAGAGCCACTCATCAACTCGGACCTCATGTGAGAGCGACATGTTGAGTTGAATGAATTAAAAACATACTATAGTATGCGTCCTGGAAGCTGTTCTGCTCTGTCTTCGTGCTGTCTCTCAGAGACTCACGGCCCTTCATCCTAGGATTATTGTCGGATCTCAGCATGTCTGTGCTCTCGTACCATCCGCGCAAGGATTGCCACAAATAAGGAGTCATTGAGGGTCAGTTTGGGCACCCTAGCACGACTTGATGCGGGAAACCCAAAGCAGTGCAGGCCCATTGCTGCATTTGCCCCCGTGCAATGTTGGCTTGACCCGGTCTCGACCCGTTGTGGCATCCTTCGACGATCCTTTCAAGGATGCTGCCAGTTTCGGCATTTGCGGAACAGGCCTTATTGTCACTCTTTGCCAGACATGCTGCAAGCAAGGATGTGGGGATTTGGATTGGCCGAGAGATGTTCAGGTCTTGAGTGTCAACGTGAAACTGACGAATGTCCACTCGAATGTCCTGGTCAGGCTTTCGGGCCTTGATTTCCTTCATTCCCTTCATTGGTTTTGTCGTCTTCTGCACTTAATGTAATACTGAAACCATCGAGCGTGCATGCCGGCCGGCTTCTTTTGATTCGTACGAATATTCACTGACATCTTCACTTGTCTCTGCCAATAGGCACGTACTGTGGTGACTGGCCGCTTCCGATTTCAACGAAAGCGAGGACGGCATCATCCTCGATCCAGTTGGCCCAGGGTTGAGGTGCTCAGGAATTCCGCGCGCGCCGTGCACTGCACATGCCCGATGACTCAAATCTTGGGGCGCTCGCACTCAAAAGTTTCCCGACGGCGTGCTGTGGATGGGAAGACCCTCGCAGAGCTGGGGTTGCTTCAGCAAAGCACCAATCCTTCAAGTGTTGGACTTCCGCTGCGCTTGCTGTCCGAGTCTTCGACATTTCCACCCTGCTTTAGAAAATGAGATGTCCGCATCGCTTGGAAGAGACAGCCCGGCGACGCAGTGTACGCCAGGAGGAGCAAGGATGTGAAAGGAATCAATGTCGAGCCAGACCCCATGGCTACTAGTACTGCCCACTTGTGACGGTAACATGGTGGGATGACCTAGCGCTGCGCTTCCGGGCCGAGGCATTGGCTTTCACCTTCTGCCAACGCGCGCGCACACGACTGACATGATCCACCATTCTCGTGCTTGTCGGAATCTGAGCCGCCGCACTTTGATCTCTCCGTGTGTAATCGGTCGCCTGCGACTCAGGGTCTGTGAAAACGGCGTGGCTTGTCTCGGAATGCAGATTGTAGTCTGGGGCTTAAGCATTTGCTCCAGCACTGATCGCTCGTTTCTGGTTCAGATGACAAGCATGTGTGATGATTTGTACGTACTTGTGTAGATACCACTCTCCTGTTAAGTAATGTTGGATGTAGGTGTGAGGGTCAGTAGCTTTCATGGGCCATCTAGGCACGCGCCGATGAAAAGAGATGCTGGCAACATCTGGCAACGTCTTTTTTTTCAATTGCAGTGCAGGAAGGCGCCTCGCCGCAATCCGATGCCCTTGGTTGCGTCGATCTGCGCAGCGGCCTGCTCGCTGCTGGAAAGCAACGGGAGAGCAAGAACTGGGAATTCGCGATCCCGGTTTCCGTGACGAGGCCGCGGCGCGGCAGGGCCGGCCACGTGCGGCGCTGCGCTATCTCCGCCGGCTCATGGGGCCACTGCAGGCCCTTCGAGAGGACCGCTGGGGCGTGTCCTGGGGCCTGGGTTCCTCACAATCCTGACAAGTTTAGCGCTGGTGGGTCTCGAAGACAGTTTCAGAAGAACGTGTGCGGCCAACAAGCATGTTAAACTGTTCTGCATGCTATGACTTAACATAAGCTGGATCCAGTGGAAAAGCGCCAGTTGAGTATGAGAACTTGAGAACATCCGGTTCAAGAGCTGCGCATATTGCGCGCGCAATCTTCGCTGATTTTTCGAGGGGTGCAGTCGGTCGGTGTCCGCCCGGGGGCCACGAGAGCTCAGCCGAGCCGCTTTGGAACTGCAGCTCTTCGTTACTCCCGCAGCTCTCGGGTCCTCTTCGTACCCCAAAGCTTTTGCTTCACCTTATGCATAGTAGAGGCTTTCTAGACAGAGGCGCATCTGAAAAGGACCACTCTGGCCGTTACTTACATTCGTCGATCATGAACAATTCAGACCTTGTACGAATGAACGGGGTTGAACTTCGTTGAACTGATTCACATGTTGTCCTGAGACGGTGTCGCTCTGCACGACAAAAAAGGCAAGACTAGCGTGGGATTGAGTGCACTATTCTAGCAAGACTCGACTAGACGCGATGTTTGCTCGCGGACTGCGGACTTTGGGGCACGATTGCTGCTTTACAAGCGGCGAAGGCTTGCAATACGGTTCATGCGCAGGAAACGCTCAAGCTCCCTCGTTGCCTCAGGAGCAGAGCACTGCCGGACTATTGGACCAGATCAGTCTGATTTTCCTCGCGTGTGAGCGTGACTCTTGAACCCAGTTCAGCACAAGTCTTCGAGCTTTGGCTTTCGTCGCTATGTTCCTAAATCGCCAAGCACGCTGATCATTAGGGCGGCGAAAGCAGTTTGGCGGAGCAATGGCTTCAGCGTATCCGAGCAGCAGGTCATGCACCAACTGCAGAGCATTTCTGGCAACTGGTCGAAGCTGGCGTGTCGCATTGTTCCCTTTCAGCTGGCATGGGCTTGAGTAGGAGGTTTGGCTCCAAGGTACTCCATGAAAGCTTTTGCCAAGAAGGGCTTGTCCAGGCCGGCAGTGTAAATCCGCGCGAAGATCTCGACTGGCTTTGCCCGCGAGGGATGCAGAGAGATGTTTCCGTGAAATGCTCCGCTGCCGCCTGCAAGCAACTGAGATGGAGCCTCATGGCAGCAGGAAGCTGTGCTTCTGTTCGGATGTAGCATATCAGAGCGGCGACGCTGCTGCTTTCAGTGGATCTTGCTGGAACGGGGGCTCTGTTGATGTGAAATGCCAAGAAAGGTGCACAATGATGATACGTGCTTCTGGGAAGCTGGGCGATTCTCAACGTGCACTTGCTTGGCTGACGCGGATGCACGCTGTGCCTTGGCCAGGTGGATCGAAGAGCCATTAGTTGCGATCCGTCAATGCGAAGACAGACTTTTGAATTCGTTTCCGTCATGCATTTCATGCCCCACACGCTGAAGATGCTTGTGCTAGCTCCGACCGCACGCCGCACGTGTCGATTAGACCCATCTTCACATCGACAAGCCATGGAGCTGCTTTGGCTGATTCGAGCACTCCCGGGTGCTTGGGCAAACCGGCCTTGCTGGCCAGGTTCAACCACTGCCCAGGCAAGAGCACGCGAATTTAAAGGCCACTCACCGCTCTATGAGCTCGGGCGATCGCAGGGGGGAGGCCCGGAGAAGGCTCTCAGCCAGGACCCAGGAAGGTGATGACCAACTGTTCATGATGCGGTGCCGGCTTGCCTTTAAGAATATGTGGCATCATTTTCAGTTGCGAGCATGAGTTCTGATGTGCATGCCATGATGGAGTGCAGAGGCGAAAGCAGGTTCATCCTTGATTGCAGTGCCAAGGTTCAGTTGACTGTGGATGTCTTTGCCTACAACGCTGTGCTCGGAGCATACTCAATGGAGGGAGATTTCCGCTCTGCTTTGAATCTGGTCAAGGCTCCCTCGGACCCCGCACCTGCACCGTCCCTGACGCACCCTGCTTACAAGACAGGCTATGGAGTCTGGAATTCTGTGGCTTTGGCTTGGCGCTAGTTCCTTGGGTCCTGAAACCGTGAAGTACCGTTGGCCTCAGGCACAGCATCAGGCCAGATGCCGCCAGCTATGCAGCAGCTGCCAATGCTTGCACGTCCTCGGAGTCCCGACGAAGGCGGCCAAGGCTAAGTCCAGTTCGAAGGCCCATTTCAAGTCAGACTCGTGCCGAGGCATCACCTCGCGGATCTTGCCGACCCTTGGCCAAAGGACAATCGAAAATTATATAGTGCAAACACAGTGAAAAACGCGGATGTGAGGCTTCTTTCCTGTAGAGCTCAGGAATCAGTCGAGATCCCTCAACATCCGGATAACTTCAGAGCAGCAAAGAGATCTGCACGTCACTACTATAGAAATCAAGAGACAACTTGTAGTTGGACCGATCGCATGAAAGAAGGCGGCATCTGAGGGAAAACTAGTGAAACTAGTTTAAATCATGAACATCCTAGAGAAGTCTTGCCAAAGTTGCCTCCTTGCCCTCGGATGACACTTTGCTAGCCACTGATCGGCTGAATACGATCCTAATCAAGTTATCATCCACAAGTGGATGGTATGGTGGATCATGGTCTGCTAGCTTTCTCTGGTTTTTGGCAGCAGGACTCCTCTTCTTTTTAGCATCCACCTCGCCTCGCCTATGTATGCTGCTGATGATGGTTCCAAGAAGCGGAACATCTAAAGGTCCTTGTCGTGGAATTTATGCAAAGCGATGATTGAAGATAGGAATCAATGTGTCCACCAAAGGAAAATGTTAGCAGTTAATCCGCGAACCTTTTTTTCGCGACAGACTTGGGACACATAAGACCTGTAGAGAAGGTGCCGTCATTCTGCAGATGTACTGGTCCCAAGCCGCGAGAGGGTTGACTGGATTGCAAGAAGCAGCGGAGATGCAGCTGCCAGGAAAATTCAACAGAATTGCGTCGTGGTCGTCGTCATCAGCATCGCCAGCGCCATCGACATCCTCATGGCAACGAGCCATCAACTCGTCTAGCCCCACCACCACCGCCACGGACACGACGACGACTACTGCTACTACTACTACCACTACTACTAATACCTACTACTAATCAAAATAGTTGTAATGATAATGACAATAATAATCATAATGATAAAGCCTAATAATACTAGTAATAGTCACAACAGTATTCGTGATACCAATGTAAATAGTAGCGTAATACACTTTCCGCGCGGAAGGAACGCAATGCTCCGGAAAGAAGCCATGCCCACAAGAACACAGATTGAGCAACACTCATGTGAAAGATCAGAAAATTGAAACATTGGAAGTATTTAGAATCATGTATGGAAATTCAAGATATGATATAGCGACATGTAGAGCATTCACTCTAACGGCGGTTCAAGCCATAGCGACTTCGGCTACAAATGCGAAAGGAATCCTCACGGATCAGAACCAGCCGGGAATCCCTCGAGAACATGTGAGAACTTCATCGACTGAAGTCACAAGAAGCATAGCAAGCTGTTTGATAAATTCTGCAAGAACCCTCGAAACAAGTGTAGCTGTAGAGAACCTAGAGAGATGTTTCAAGCGATCTGGAGAAATCTGGAGAAGTCCCAATAAAGTTCACAAGTTTCGAGACATTTCAGAAATGTAAAGAAATCTGACAAGTCCAGAAGTCAGAATGAAGGTGAGAGAAAAATTGCTTTGTTGTGACATCCAGACACATCGGGGACTAGGCCAAACGTCTATAGACTACAGAGATGCACAGATGCCAAAATGAGACTATGCAGATCTCGCAATGCTTGTTCTGCCAACATCATTTTTCGTATCCTCGCAAGAAGTCTATCAAGCCTTTGAGTTTGGGGCTTGGGTTTCAAGTGTTCGGTTCGCGTTTGTTGCCTTGCTCGTTGTCCCAGGTTTCTTTTTGACTTCTTGAATCAGCTCTTCCTTGTTGTTTCCTGAGAGTCTCCTCTTGGGTTTGTGTGTGTGTGTGCGCCCTTTATGTTTGAAGTGTTCTTGTTCTCCTGTGAACTTCGTGAACTGTATCACATGAGATTTCAATTTCGTTGGTGCCCCCGGAGAAGCCCGTGCGCTTGAAAAAGGCATCAGTGCAGTGCAAGATATTTGGGCAGCCGTAATCTGAGGAGCAGCTGGTTGAGCGCAGCCGATCCGCCATGATGGAGGTGCTCTCCCGCACCGACATGCCAATGTAGGTAGTCGCTTTGTCATAGTGCTCACTGTGCTTCGATGCTGCAGAACATCTACTTCGTTAATGTCTGGCATAGAAGGTTTGGCCATTCAAGCTGTCAAATTGCAAGATCCCTCGGCGCGCAGGTGGATGGTGCCGTGTACCGAAGGCTCCTGCGGCACAGTGCAAGGCAAGGGGATGCAGAGCGCGTGGGACGTTTGCTCAGCTGCTTGGTGTTGCACCTATGTTCATGGCCGAGTCAGTGAAGGTTCTGTATGTAGTTGGAGGGCGTGCCGTACACGCCCGTGGCTGTTTCTTGAGGTCTCAGATATTCTCTGCTTTTCCGGGAAGTTGGAAATTCGGCATTTTCCTTGTTTCAGCGATTGCCCGTTTTCCGGTGTTGCGGTCTTTCAAGGAGTCGACTTGCCTCACGTTGCTGCTGCCATGCTCCTGCTCTCTGCTACTCTTAATGGTGCTGCTTGCTGCGGGGTAATGACGTTCTGTTTCTGATGATGACTTGCCTCAAGTGTACTGGTTCTGCAGTCCCTACTCCCACCACAGCCCTGGTGAAAGAAAGAGAGAGATGCAGAGTTTGGCGCGGCACCGCAGGTTCGGGCTTGGGTAGCGGATGGTTGAGTTAGTCCCAGGCCCCCTACACTGCAGCTCAAAGTCAGACTGGCACACACTTCTACCACAGTGCGAAAGTTGATAAAAACAACAGCAGAGGAATTCCCAGTTTATGCTTTGAGTTGGATCCTCAGCCCTGGACAGATTCCTTGTCTGTGTCCTGCGCACGGAAGCCATTTTCCTCTTGCCGACAGAATACCTTAGTGCATTGCCGCTGCTCGCTAGCTTCTTTACTCGATAGTTCTCGCCTGAGGAGTTCGCGTGGACTTATTTGTGCGAAGCGTTGCTTCGTGAAACGCTGCAGCTAGCTCCGATTCAGCATTTCTCGTCGCCCCTTGTGTCGACACCGGGGCATGCGCGATGCGAGACAGGCGCAGGTCGTTCAAGCTTCTTCCGGCAGCGGTCGTGTTCCATACTTTCTGGGGTATCTGTTCGGATAGCAAGAGGATTCAAGCCGGACTATTTTTGCTTTCTGAGGCCGAATGGCAGCCTTGTGCACAGATCCCGGTCCTTCGGCCATCCTGGAGGCAGACAGGTTGACCACATGTTTTTTCAGGCAGTGATGTCGCAGAGCTGCAGGCCTTGTCAGCGTGCAGCACGGCACCCTTTCTGGGCTCAGCCGGCAACCTCCTCGAGAAGCATCCCAGAGGCGAAGCCGCGCCGAGGCTGAGGGGGCTGCGGGGGTGACTGTTGCTGCAAGGAGCTCTCTTGTTGGCACGGCCTTTCGTGGAGCTTGGCGACTGGCGTCGGGTGCAGAGGCTTGGTCGAGCCGCATGCCTGCACGCTTGCACAGCCCAACTTCACGGCGGTTCGAACGTGTAAGACTCAGGACACTGAGACGGCTACGGCGATGCAAGGCGACACGGTTTCTGTCTGGCCAATGCTGCGACTGATGGCCCTTGCTGAAGCCGTTCCGAGGAGCGGGTCGAAATCCTAATGAGAGACTGATGTGCCCACAGATTTCTTCATTGAGGCAACGAAGAGCTACAGAGACAGATGAACATCAATAAGAGTCAGTAAAGCAAACCGTCACCTTCACGATAGCTCCTGGCGAACACCATGGCCGTGCCAGTCTTTGTTGCGTGATGTAGGTAGATTTGCCGCACGTGTGGACAGTGTGATGAGCAGCCAACGGGATCTTCGACATATCAGCCGCCTTGGATTTCACTCGAACTTTCACGGAGCCCGTCATTGGCTTTAACAATGTCTCCTTGCAGCGTGCTGCTTGCTGCAGTCCCGTAATGGCCTGTCCAGACGTGTTTGCGCACTGCGCAACCAGAGTTGCAACCAGAGGTATTCGAACAGCGAAGAACCGTGCCATACAGAACCAACCCTTGGAGTCGCTGGCGGTCTTTAGATACAGAGCGAGCGTGAGAGAGAGAGAGAG